TTCCATCTATGTGAAGATAAGTCAAAGGTCCTGCTCAACCATGTCTGGCTTCACTTGGAAGCATGGATGAAATGTTTCCTCTGAGTTGACCTTCCTCTTTGTAGACTGGACACTGGTCCAAGTCCATCTTGTGGGGTCTCCATGGACTCCCTGAACAAGAGGGAGAGGTGACAGAGTCACATTTTAAAGCAAGGTCTCTCCCATGTGTTCTCATAAATATACAAAACCGAACAAGCCATTAGCATTCTCTAACCCAACATTGTGGATGAGATCTAAGGGGCTGGAGAGATGGCTCAGCAGTTAAGAGCACTGGCTGCTCTTGAAGAGGACCCGGGTCCAATTCCCACTCCCTGAACAAGAGGGAGAGGTGACAGAGTCACATTTTAAAGCAAGGTCTCTCCCATGTGTTCTCATAAATATACAAAACCGAACAAGCCATTAGCATTCTCTAACCCAACATTGTGGATGAGATCTAAGGGGCTGGAGAGATGGCTCAGCAGTTAAGAGCACTGGCTGCTCTTGAAGAGGACCCGGGTCCAATTCCCAGTACCCACATGGCGGCTAACAACCATCTGTAACTACAGTTCCAGGGGATTTAATGCTCTCTTCTGACTCTGTGGGCATTGCATGAAATGGATGTACTCACACACATGCAGGCAATACATTCATAAATAAACTGAAAATAATAAGATATGTTTTTTTAAAAAAGGAAATTAATGAAAACACTTCTCTATTCCAAATACTCTTTCATGAAACTACCCTCTCTAATCTCTGGGAGAATATGGATGCTTGACCATATACATTCTGTTTCTCCATGGTGTTAATCTCTAGAGTACTAACTACCCAACTGCTCAAACACAAATGGTCTTTTCTGAATATACCCCCTAAATAAAATATTTCCCAATGAGTCTCCTACCAAATGGAAGTTTTGTAACAGCTCCCACTATATGAGAACACTTGTACATTATGGAAGACTCTTGGAATTTCAGAACTGTTCAAAACTTTTTAACAGTTGCTGTAAGTATATTTAGAAACCTTGATCCCCAGGAAACACTAAAAATCTACTAAGGTTCTGCCTGGAATGGCTTTTTTAGGGACTATTATGAAGTCACTAAATAATCCATCTCTCAATCTTAGTCCCTTTTCTCCTAGTGTATCACAGGGGTCACCACTATTAACTGGAGAGAACTCAAACATGAAGGCATTTGGGAATTGCATGGAGATCTCAGCTGTGAGTTCCATCAAAATATTTCTAGATATTTCTGTTGCAGAATGCATCGTATTCTTGATTTCAACCACTTAAAAAAATCCATTTCATTGCATTTTTTTTGAGTGTCTTCCCATGCATTCTCTTCCTCACAGTCATTTAGCTCAGAACTGGAGAACAAACCCTTCTGATCCTCACTCTTCTCTTTCATTTTTGCTGGTGTTCCAGGGGTAATGTAGCTAATTTATACATCACAGGAAATAAGACAGCAGTGAATACTGCGGACCCCAAACAGGTGTACAGAACTACTGGCAAATCTGGATATTGTCCTTGAAGAATTCCAATTATTGCAGGAATAGCCATTTCTCCCAGAGAGGCACCAATTACAAAAAATGCTGCAGATTTCCCACTTATGCTGGTGTACTGCTCAATCCAAGAAACTCCACTGGGAAATGTGGTTGCCATCGAGGCTCCATACACTGAAGATGCGATCCAGAGGCAAAGTTTGTTCTTGTCAAAAAGCACCAGAAATAAAGATGAGACCAGGCTGCCAACGTTGCTCAACACAATCATGGTTCCAGGCTGTAGACACGCTGCAAAGAAGATGGCCAGGCCCCTGCAGCCTGCAAAGGTCCCCCAGAAGATGGAGTTCAACCCGGCTGCTTCACTTTCCTCCATGCCAACATGGGTGGTTGCAAATGAGAATATGTAAGAGCCATATGTCACCTCAGCGCCAACGTAGAAAAAGAAGAACAGGAAGAGGAGGCAGAGCAGGGCCTTGTGGTATTTAGCTCTTTGAGATCGCTGGGCTGATGCTGTGGATTTTTTATGTTTTGAGCGTTTTTTAAAAAATGGAGCCAAGAGAAGGACAGAAACTACTGAAGCATAAGTGCCGATGGAAGCATAAGCCCACAGCAAATTCATGTCATCAGGCACTGCAAACAGAGGGTCTGAGGTGGCTTCGGAGGATCCGTTCAGCATTAGAGGATGAAAGTCAGGCTCTGTGTGGTTTGCAGCAGAGGCTGCTGTGCCCCATGCCAGTTTAGCCAGCAGGGGAGCCAGAAAGGCACCCAAGGCGAAACTGAAGTGCAAGGCCTGCATATGGGGGGCTCCTTTGTCCCCCCAAAGAGCCAAGATGAGGACATTCCCACCTGCCAAGGAAAGATGGTGAAAATGGTTATAGTTAAACATAGTCACTTAGTAAAAGCACTTCATTACTATGAAAAAGGATTTTCTTATTACCTAGTAGTTTTATGGTGTTCTAAGTTTACATCATAGCCATGCTGTAATTAAGGACTTCTAAACCTCTATCACCAGAAGACTATGCATTACAACATCTTGTCTTCAAACGTGGAATTTACAAAATAGTAAATAATTTCTCTTGAGCATGGCACATTAGAAATAGTGCTAACCTCACTGGGAAGTAATACTGATACATTTATTAATTTGTAATTTTTTTGAGACAGTGTCATGTATGCCAGACTGGCCTCAAACCTGCTCTGTAGCTAAGGGTACTCTTGAACTTCTGATCCTCCTACTTGTATCTCTTAAATCCTGGGATTGCAGGCATGTGCCTCCACATCCACTTTTTGCACTGCTGGGGATTGACTCAGCATGACTTCTAAGAAACACCCTGCCAACCAAGCTACATCCCCAGGCCTATATGTAACCGTATATGCATACTAGGCAAAATGTTATCAATGGTGGGCAAACTCCAAAGCTTCTGGTACTTTCACTTGGTTAACAATTCCAGTTGAGGGATATTATTTTCTTTTTTATTGGTGTTTTTGAGACAGGGTCTCCTTGTAGCCCCAGCTGGCCTGGAACTCACTATGTAGACCAGGCTGGCCTTGAGCTCAGAGATCCACCTGCCTCTGCCTCCCAAGTGCTGGGATTAAAGGCGTGCACCATCACCCCCCTAGAATATTATTTTCTTATGTCTAAAGGAGATGTCAACACTTTGTCAGGAACAAGAATGCCCCATTATTCTGGTGTGCTTGTCACAGGAAACAGTGACAAGAACAGTTTTCAGAATTTGTAGTACCATCTACAAGATGAAAAGCCAAGAACATCTAGTGTTTGGCTATCTTATAAAATATTAGATATTTTCAGATAAGCATATAATTCCACTCTATAATTTTTTTTTCTTGTCTTTTTGAGACAGGGTCTCCTTGTAGTCCCAGTTGTCCTGTAACTCACTATGTAGACCAGGCTGGCCTCGAGCTCACAAAGATCCTCCTGCCTCTGCCTCCTAAGTGCCGGGACTAAAGGCGTGCACCACCGCGCCTGGCCCCACTCTGTAATTTTATACCCAAATGAAGCTTGAAGTGTAAAATATTTGTATGATTTATTAAATACAATTAGACCAAGGAAGGGAGAGATAAAAAACTAGAACTGGTGATAAATGAGTATCATGTATGTTATTTAGCAGGTTTTCAAAGATAGCAATGACACATGGAGAGTGTCTGCTGTGGAGAACAAGGACTTCTGAGAGAAAACAACCAGAAAGACAGACAAGAATGGGTTGGACAGACAGCTCAGCTGTTAGGAACACTGGCTGTTCTTGCACAGGATCTGGGTGCAGTTCCCAGCACCCACATGGTGGCTAACAACCATACATAACTCCAATTCCAGGGGATCTGATGCCCTCTTGTGACCTCTGCATTTGCATGCTCATGGTGCAGTTAACACACATGCAGGCAAAACACTCATACACATAAGATTTTTTTAAAGACAGACAAAAATGTGGTACCCAGCACAGGTTTCTCTAAGCTCAGAATCTGGGGTATAGTTTCAGTTGATTAGCTGATTTTGTGCTTCTGCAGTCTATAGTAATTCCACCCTTGTTTTGTCCTATGCAAATCATTTCCTCATACTAAAATAATCTAATTCGATCCACATATGAAAGCCTGCTCACTTGCAATATATTACTTACAGAATAGGAGTCCTTCCGTGTTTGGATAACCCAATAATCTCTCATAAAGCAAAATTCTCAAAGTTCACTTCATAGCCGGATATTCAAAAATTGGTGCCATAACTGGCAAAGAAGGGAGCTGCTAAAAGTGTGATTCTGACTGGATGAGTCCATGCCAGTTTAATAGCAAGATAAAGGACAGTACAATTTCATCTACTTTACTTTTCCTAGTATACTGTCCCTGATCCTGAAGAAGACACAGAACGATTCACTAACCTGTATCTACAACACCAGCTGAAGCACCAAAGACAGACATCATGACAGTCAGTAAGACTGCCTTCTTGCAGAAAGGAATGATATAAAACCCAACTGTGGTAGCCAACATGGACACACCTGAGAAGGAAGATAATTAAGTCAGCTATAAAAACAAATATTCGGGCTGGAGAGATGGCCCAGTGGTTAAGAACACTGGTTGTTCTTGCAGAGGACCTGGGCTCGAATCCCAGCACCCACATGGCAGCTAACAACTGTCCGTAACTCCAGTTCCAGGAGATCCAACAGCCTCTTCTGTCCTCCGCAGGCATTGCACAACATGGGTGCACTTACCTACATGCAGGCATAACATTCATACACATAAAATAAAAATAATAAAATATTTTTAAAAACACAAATAGTCATGGGGCTAGAGCATTGGCTGCTCTTGCAGAAGAGCAGGGTTTGATTCCCAGCACCCACATGGCATCTAACAATCAGTTCCAAGGAACCTGGCGCTCTTTTCTGACCTCTATGAGCATTGCATGACATGGGTGCACTTACATACATGTAGGCAATATACACATACAAAAATATAAACAAATATTCATCGAGGTCATAGGTCAAAGGGACATCATAAATTTTCCAAAAATACAAAATAATGTTGAGTTAAAACTGGCTGGTCATGGGATTGGAGAGATAGCTTAGAGGTTAAGAACACTGGTGGTTCTTGCAGAAGACCTGGGTTTGAATCCCAGCACCCACATGGCTAACAACTGTCTGTAACTCCAGTCTCAGGGGATCCGACAGCCTCTTCTGACCTCCGTGGGCATTGCATGACACAGGTGCACTTACCTACATGCAGGCAGTACATGCATACATATAAAATAAAAATAATAAAATTTAAAAAAAAACAAAAAACTGGCTGGTCGTGAGTAGATGAGTGACACAGTTGCTATATGTGGTGGCTTCATAGAAATGTTTTACAATATTTGTAGATTGTAAAATATAAATTACTATGATATGAATACAATCCTATCACTACAAATAATCAAATGAAAAATTATAACAAAAAGATAAGTTTTATAGCCTATGAGTCAGGTCAAAAATTATTGCCCCCAAAGGGATTTTTATATATGAGATAATAATGTAAAAATAGAAAATTAAAACATTAGTATAGTAAATTTTAGTCAGACTTTATTAAATAAGTTCATTTGGGGTATAAAAGGAAAGGAAGTAAAAGATATTCTTTTACTTTGGAGATAATGATTATTTATTTATTCATCAGCAATTATTTACCTTGCCTCCAAAGGACTCTTATCATGGGAATCTAAATCATCTTTAGTTATGTCAGTTTATTGAAAAAAGCATGTTAAGAGTTTTACCATCTTTCAAGGATACAGAAGAGCAGTCTGGGCTCATCACCGACATGGAGCAGCAGGGACAAAATGGCGTCCTGCCCAGTTCAGCTGTCTGCCACGCTGTCTGCAGGATATGCTTTTCATATTTAGAGTCACAATTGAAATTTTATTGACAGTCACAAGAGAAGCAAAAATCAGTGTTTACTTACCCAAAAATAAAAGAGGATTCATACAGTCAAAAAGAACTCCACCAATCATAGTACCACATACAAATCCAGAGGCACGGCCCACAAATATTAGAGAAAGACTGCTGATATTTTGGTTCACATTTCTTGCCAAATCTTGAAATGTAGGTCCAAGTATAGAGATACTTATTCCCTGAAATTTAAAAATCAAGGGCTTTTAACTTACAATCAGTAAGATGATGTCTATTTAAATGGCAGTCTTTTCCATTATATAAAATGGGAGAGGGAGTTACAATGTGATGTAGAGGCTTATTTATTCAAACAGGAAAAATGCACAACACTATTACTACTAGAGGTGTACACTCTTATGATTTTTCATTTTTTTAAATCTGGCTTTTGGTTGCAATTCTGTTTAGATTTTGAATACCTTAAAAAGACTATTCTGCTTGCTGGGCGTGGTGGTGCACACCTTTGATCCCAGCACTTGGGAGGCAGAGGCAGGCAGATCTTTGTGAGTTTGAGGCCAGCCTAGTCTACATAGTGAGTCCCAGGCCAGCTGGGGCTACAGGGAGACCCTGTCTCAAAAACACCCAAAAAAGGTAATAAAATAAAAATAAAAAGCAAATATTTACATACACATGTACAAAAAGACTTTAACAATAAAATGTTACCTATACAATATATTAGCAAGAACCAAAGGTTGCAGTTCATTTTCAATGAGGAAATTCATTGGACTCTTAAAGAAAAACGTTTCCAAGTTACATTTCCAGAGTAATTGATTACAATTGCATTGTTCTGCTCCAAACCAAAGGCATCCCCTGTCCAAGCAGCTGGAACACAAGACTAAGGACCAAGGTGTGGATAGGTCCACAGCAATAATACAGGCACAATGAAAGAGACTGAATACAGGTTCTAACCAAATTCCTCCAAAAGACTTGCAAGAGTGGCACACAGTGTGGGCTTTGCGAACACCTGCAGCAATTCCTTCTCAATCCTTCCCCCATCAAACAAGCCAAGTGTGGTGACCTTGATAGGCTGAGGCAGGAGTAGAACAAATTCAAGGCCAGTGTGGGATACTTAGTGAGACCTTGTCTAGAAATACTAAAAATCTAAGAGACGACTGTGGCTCAGACTGTGATGCAAAGTAACCAGAAATGACTCTTCATAAAGAGCCACTCTCCTGACACTCCAGAGGCGAAAAGTATGAAGGCACTTCTGTTTTTGCACTTTGATAAAGAAAATCATGTAAGGCTTGATTTGAACAGGATTACAGATGTGCAGCCACCAAGCCCAGTTAAGAGATTTGCTCTTGACTCTACTGCTCAGCCACCTGTGACATTCAGAAAGTCACTTTCCTCTCAGGACCTGTTTTCAGTCTGAAAAATTAAGCAGTTGGCTGAATATGGTCATTCCACCAGGAAGAGGCGATTCTTGTACTGTGGCGTTTGTGTAGTAATGTGCGTGAGTGTGGACTTAAAGGCCTGAGCTCTCCCTCTTGGATCGCCCCCATCGCACCCAGGCGACTAGGAAGCTTAGCTGATGTTGGAAAACACCTTAAGGAAATAATTTCAGTTAACGTTAACCCTTCAAGATTCGAATTGTGCCCATTTTCTAGACGGCTTATAAAAGACCCTGGCAGATGAGTGCACCCAAACTCTCACTGCGCAGGTAGGTCTGCCAGTCGGAAGACCAGGCCACGTTCCCTGCATCCGCAGCCGGGGCGGGTTGCCTCCTCGGCTCTCACCAGCCCTACGAAGGCAGCATACAGGACCATGGTGATGAACCAGCGCAGCCGTCTCCCGGTCCTGCCACTCGACCCGGAGCCCTCCGCCTCCCGCTGGTTCTGCGTCGCCGGGGCCTCGGCCTGGAAGAGCCATTGGCCAGCTGCGGGATCGACCCCTCGGAAATCCAGTTCCAGCTCCAGCTTGGCTGTTCCAAACACGCTCTGGATGCCCTCATCTTGCTTTCAGAGACACACTCGGAGCGAAGCCCCGCCCCTCTCCTCCCTCAGCCCTCGCTCCTCCCCGGAGGCCACGCCCCGAAGGCCCCGGGGTCTTCGGACTCCGCCTTGTCAGGGACCCCTGAGTGAAGCCGGAGCCTCACTTCAGAGCCGGAACCCGCGTTGCGCCGCCCTGCAGCCGGCGCTTCGCCTGGGCTCCCCTAGGCACGGTGCTGGGCGGGGAGTGGGAGCTGCAGTCCCGCCCAGGAGGAACACGGTAAGGGGCCGCTAAACCATACGAGACCCTCAAGAAGCAATTTCAGGGCCGCCCCCAAGGTCACCTGCAAAGGGGAGGAAGGCCTGACCCTTATCAGTTTCCCCAGATCCCTGCCCTTGCGCCCCTCGTGCCTGAGAGTTCTCGTTCTTATCTTTCACTCCAGGTATTTGTTGAATCTTTTCATTGCCTTTCACATGTACCAACAAAACTAATCCTCACAACACTACCGCTCGGAATCGCCTTTAGCCTGTTTAGAGAGAAGGGACTATGATATAGAGAGTGGGGAACAGTTTGCACAGTCATAAACAGTTTAACAGCAACTCAAATAAATCTAGTTCCAAAGCTGTAAGTCCAGGTACTCATCCCTTCCAGTTTCAGCAAGTGATTTGAACATCCGATGTTAGATTTGCTGAGTAAAGCCGTGCGAACTCAGGAGGGAAAGGCCTTATCTTTATGGACCACAACTTTGCTTTCTTTCGATTCATTGTCCCTGTACAGAGAGGCTACTGGGGGAAAAAGATTGGTAAGCCCCACACTGTCCCAAGCAAGGTGACAGACCACTGTGGCTCTGTACTGCTTCGCTTCATCCCTACCCCCAGAGGCACTGGATCATCTCTGCTCCTGTGCCCAAGAGGCTGCTGCTGATGACAGGTATTGATGACTGCTGCACATCAGCCAGGGGCTGCGTCGCCACCCTGGGCAACTATGCCAAGGTCACCTTTGATGCCATCTCCAAGATTACACCTACCAGACCCCTGACCTCTGGAAAGAGACTGTCTTCACCAAGTCTCCCTATTAGGAATTCACTGACCATCTTGTGAAAACCTACACTGTAGTCTCCAACTAGTGGTTTCAGGCTCCAGCTGTGGCTATTACATAGGGTTTTTATAGAAGAAAAAATTAAGTGAATTAAGCCTGTTATTTAAAAAATGGCTGCTTTTAGGCTGGGCGTAGTGGTACATGCCTTTAATCCCAGCACTGGGAAGGCAGAGGTAGGCAAATCTCTGTGAGTTCGAGGCCAACCTGGTCTACATGTGGGTTCCAGGCCAGCTGGGGCTATAGGGAGACCCTATCTCAAAAAAAATACCCTGCCCCCCAAAAGGCTGCTTTAGAAAAACAGAAATCTGAAACCATTAACCTTTCCAGAGGGAGATACCCTACAGGCCCCAGCAGGTTCTCAAGTGTATCCTTGTGAACCAGTCTATTCCATCTTTCTGACAGTGAGAATGTCAGAACTTGGCCACTAAATCTGTCCTCATGCCCCACCAAATCTATGAAGATGAATAAGAATGCAGTGATAACTGAGCCTTTCCTTATAGAAAGCACCGGAGACCCTTCTTTCAACACTAATACTTATGAACTTAAAATGCTGCCTTCTTTTCCTTAGGCAAGGTTTCCAAAGAGGAGACAGAAAAGGCCAAGTATGAGGCAAAAGCAAAGGAAGGTCCTGTTCTGAGCAGAGTGCACAGCTGTAAACTCAGGTCACTCAAAGCAGAGATGGGAGCAGCCAAGGACACTAGGATTATCATTTATTACAGCCATTTGGATAAGACAGAGTGGGTATCTAGTCTCTCAACTTCAACATTCCCACTTTTAAAATATCTTTCCCAAAGACTCAGAATTTGAGGAGGAGTGGGAAGATAGGTATACACTTGCATTATGAGTTAGAATACTGAACTGTCTCACTATTCTTAAGTACTATTCCCAGAGTACTGTGAACAGCCTTTCAGCTTCTGGGGCCTATAGAGGTGGAAAGCCAAGAGGGGATCCCAGCATCTGCCTGACAAGCCATTCAGAAAACTTTTTCACTCTGAAATAGGCATCTGCAATCATCCCTATTATGAAATTATTCAGCAATATACATACTGAGACATGTAGCTAGTAACAGTTTTATTGGTGAATTTTTAAGTTTAGAAATTATAAAATTCTTGAGAGAAGTGGAAGAACCAAGGATGGTACACGTCAATTTCGTCCCAATGATGAAATGAAAATACTACTCACCAATATAAGTTTGAAACACTCAAGATGTAAAATCTGAAGACTATTAACCAATTTCTGAAGGAGATTTGTCAAGTTCATTTTTAAAGTTAAAAGGAACAAATGGCCCAAGAATTTTACCTTAAACCCAGTATTTGCATATCGTATATAACAACATTTTACTCAAGCTATTATGTAAAACCATATAAACAGTTCATGTACATATATTCAGTTGTAACAAATCTTTAAGGTGAAAAACCAAAAACTGATTAGAGCACCTATGCACAAGGACAAGCAACTTGGTTTTGGTTTTGGCATAACTTCTAGCAACAGATTTGACTGTTCCCTTTATTTGACCAAAGAGTGGTGATGGTAACATAGAACGAGGATTTTCTTCCTCCTGGTTGTCCTTCAGAGAAAACGGAGTAAAATCACCTGTAAAGATTGTTACTTAACCAACCTACAAATAACTTCTTCCAGTTTTCTGCATTCCCAAAGGCACTGGTTCCCATCTTTGGCTGAGCATTACACTTGCCAGAGGAACTTTTAAAAGATATGTATTTGGGCTCCACCTCAATTCAATAGGTGTTTAAGTGTAAAAGTGCTGAGCATTGGTAATTTGGAAATATTGCCAGGTAACTGTAAGCGCAGTCAAGTTCAAAGCCATAAAAGTAAAGGCTTATCACTAACACCCAGGGCAAGACTACATTCTGCAATCAAGTTTTTCCTGAGTCCTTTTGTCTTCCTGGCGCTTATGGGTTCTAAAGGGGCAGAAGCAAGTGGCACTTTGCCCCCCTTTTGCCCTGACTAAGCTCTACTCATATCCCAGTCCAGAGAAAAGTGCTTTGTACCTCACAATAAAACAGACTGGTATCTGATTCTGATCTTTAAAAAGCAAATAAAACCTAAAAAGCTTCCCATAAACCTGGACTGTATTGAGAGCAATTCTGCCCATGTTTTTTGCCATACTGAAGGTAGAGTGTGGCCCCTTCTGTTTCACACCACACACAAAATGATGCAAACTCAGAAACCTTGCTTTTACATTTTTCTTTCAAATAAAAGTATGTTCTTTCTACTCTTCTCGCCCCTTCACCTCAATGATACTGGTATCTTGTTTGTCACAACTGATTTTTCAGCCCCAGCTAACAAGCATTAATTGTCCCAGTAAAGCACAAAAGGTTTTATTTCCACAGATTCTTAATCTAAAATATATCACACAAATGACCCAGATAGTCTTTGAGGGATTCCCAAAGTTCCCTCTGAAATTTCACAAACCAGGCCTCCACCATTTGCATTTCTTCAAGCTCCCACAGAATAGCTCACTGAGTCCCAAGCATTCAATGGCTTTTCCAGCCCAAAGCTCCAAAATCCTTCTACAATCCTCCCAGGACAACATGAACAGGTCCTTCACAGCAATATCCTACTCTCTGATACCAGCTTTTGTTCTAGTTTGGTTTTCTGTTGCTGAGACAAACATGACGAGCAAAAACAACTTGGGGAGAAAGGGCTTATTACTTTCTACTTTCAAATGACAGTCCATCATTGAGGGAAGCCAGGGTAAGAACTCATGCAGGGCAGGAATCTGGAGGCAGGAGCTAAAGCAGAGACCATGTAGAAATGCTGCTTACTGGCTTGCTCCTCCATCTGTGCTCAGCCTGCAGTGGGCTGGGCCCTCCCTCATCACTCAACAAGAAAATGCTTTATAGACATGCCCATAAGCCAATCCAATAGGGGAAAGCCCCCAATTGAATCTTCCCAGGTTATGTCAAGTTGACAACTGAAGCTATCCAACACACTCTTAAACATATCTGGATGTAATGACTTATGCCTGAAATACCAGCAGTAAGGAGGCTGAAGCAGGAAGATTACCATGAATTTGGGGCCAGTCTGGGCTACTTAGTGAGTACTAGGCCAGCCAGAGCCTGTCTCAAAAGTGGTAATAAAGAGGCAGATTTTGAAGGCAGATCCCTGTTTAACAATAAGGGATTTATTGTCTAAGGCCCAGGAAAAGCAGTTAATGGAGCAGAGGTATTTCCAAACTAGCTAAGAGAAAAGTACATCACAAAATCACCTTTTATCCATCCAGCCTCTCCAATGCTGTTAGGGTAGTAACTAACATGAACAATCTGGTGGCAGGCATATGGTGAATGGGCTCTTGTGTTTCACTTAAGACAAACCAAAGTATTATTCAAAAGCTAATTTATAGAAATTAGGGAAGAAAAAGCAAATCAACTCTATTCATATTGAAATTAAATGCTATTCAACAGAAAAGTTGGGAAGAAGTAAATAAAATTCTCATCAATTCTAGTCATTTATAAAGAGAGCTCACACCAGTTTTTCCATACTTGTGTCAAGTAGCCTTTCTCATGCCTGCCTCTTGCGTCATCAATCTACCTTCTCATCATCAGTTTAATTTCCCAAGTAATTCAAACTCAGGGAGGCAGAACCTTGGATGATGTATATACAAGTGTTCTATCCACTAGACAGACTGTGCCTAACTGTAAATTAAATTTGTCAAACGTTTATAGTGCTTAAGATGTAATTGCTACTCAAAGCTCATGAAAATCAAGTCTAGAAATAGCAAGACCTAGACCAATTTTGTCCTACTGAGGTAGTTAAGGGCATCAAAAAGACCTATCTATAGTTATCTTATTTAAGGAGGTAGAAGGTATCTACAGGTCCTGAAAGGATTTGCAGAGCCATATGATTAGACAAAAATCCACTCTACTACTAA